AAATTAGCGAGGCATAGTGGCACATGCCTGTAATCCCAGCTACTTGGGAGGCTCAGGCAGAATTGTTTGAACCTGGGAGGTGGAGGTTGCAATGAGCCAAGATCGTGCCACTGCACTCCAGATTGGGGCGACAGTGAAACTGTGTCTCAAAAAAAAAAGATCATGCCGACATCTGTGGTCATTCCAGGCACAGGAATGAAAGGCAGGGTTCTGGGGTCCAGCAGGGCTGGGTTTGAATAGGGTCCCTCACTTGCTGGGGTGGCCGGGGAAGATGGTTTGTGATCTCTAAGACTCAGCTTGCTCATCTGTAAAATGGGGATCCTAGGGAAAGGGCAGGTCTGCTTCTGGCTTAGTGAAGGGGCAGATTAAGAAATAAAAAGAGGCTGTACACACGTTGCATATTATTTTAATCTGTAATCCCAGCAATTTGGGAGGCCAAGGTGGAAGGATCACTTAGGGCTCAGGAGTTCAAGACCAGCCTGGTCGACACAGGAATATCCCATCTCCACAAACAGTTAAAAAAAAAAAAAAGTTAGCTGGGCCCCAGCTACTCAGGAGGCTGAGGCGGCAGGATCACCTGAGCTTGGGAGGGCAAGGCTGCGGTGAGCTATGATCACAACACTCCACTCCAGCCCTGGGCAACCGAGCAAGATCCAGTCTCAAAAATCGGTAAATAAGAAGAAGAAAGAAAGTCACTGAGGACTTGACCAAGGTCACTTAGCAAGGCCACGGGGGGCTGTGATCGCATGGACTGTCTCCATGGCAACAGCAGTGAGTGACAGGTGGCCAAAGTTAGCCGGGGAAAGTATACTACCTCAATCTTTGGCAAACGCAGAGCACTTGGCGAGCCCACGGGGAGGGCGAGGGCGAGGGAAACGTGGCGCCACGCCCCGCCGGGCAAGCGCCCGGGCACGCCCCCGCAGGGCCTCTCCACATTGGTCGGTTCCCGGAGGCCCCACCCACCCGAGCGGCTATAAGATGGGCGGGGCCGGCGGGGGGGGCGGAGACTTGAGCCTGGGGTCGCCGGAGACACCTGAGGTCTGAAGCCGCACGTGCCCAGGTGAGTGCCCTGAGGGCAGCGTCCAGGAGCGCCCCCGGACTCAGGAGGGGAGCTCCGGATAGGGTGGTTCGGCGAAGGTCCGGCGGCGTGGGACGGGTACGACGGGCCGGAGCAGGTGGCTGGGACCCTTGGCACAATTGGCGGAAGCCCAGGACCCAGTTGGGCGGGAACCAGGCCTCAGAGGGCGCGGGCTGGCAACCCGCAGGCGGCAAGTCTGAGGCCTGAGGTCGAGCTCCCCCTTCCAACTCTAGCTGGCCGAGTGACTTTGGGCCCAGCATGGACCTGCTGCGTGCCTCAGTTTCCCTGTCTGCCAAATGAGCTGTGAGTGGTCTAGGACTCAGCAGCTACCACCTCCACCTGTCTGGGGTGCTTGTGCAGTTCTAGGCCGGGGTGGGGGGGGCGGCGCACAGGAGCAGCAGGGGTCTCCTCTATCTTACAGAAGAGAAAACGGCCCAGAGAGGTGGAGGTGCTTGCCAAAAATCACACAGGCCAGGTGCAGTGGAGCCTGTAATCCCAGCACTTTGGGAGGCCAAGTCAGGTGGATCACTTGAGACCAGCCTGGGCAACATGGTGAAACCCCATTTTTACTAACAACACAAAAATTAGCCTGTGTGGTGGCACCTGCGTAATCCCAGCTACTTGGGAGGCTGATGAAGGAAAATCACTTGAACCTGGGAGGCGGAGGTTGCAGTGAGCTTAGATTGTGCCACTGCACTCCAGCCTAGGTGACAGAGATTCTGTCTTTAAAATGATAATAGCCGGGCGCGGTGGCTCACGCCTGTAATCCCAGCACTTCGGGAGGCCAAGGCAGGCAGATCACCTGAGGTCAGGCTGACCAACATGAAGAAACCCTGTCTTTACTAAAACAAAAAATACAAAATTAGCTGGATGAGGTGGTGCACACCTGTTAAATCCCAGCTACTCAGGAGCCTGAGGCAGGAGAATCACTTGAACCCAGGAGGCAAAGGTTGCAGTGAGCCGAGATTGTGCCATTGCACCCCAGCCTGGGCAACAAGATCGAAACTCCATCTCAAAAGAAAAAAAAAGATAATAAACAAAAATCACATAGCAGTTAATGGTAGGATTCAAACCCAGGTTGTTCTCACCCCAAAACCATGCTTTGAGTCACTCCAGCAGCCCCACCTTGCCCGAGGCTCATTACTGTACACCTTTTGTGTACAGAGCCCTGGACACGCATTGTCTGAGCCCCGCAGAACACCCCATTATGCAAATGAAGAAACTGAGGCCCCAAGAGGTTTAAGACTTGCTCAAGTCACAGAGCCAGATTTGACAGGGTCGGAGGCCTGGGCAGGTGCCCCCTTACTCCATCCTGCCCGCAGGGTGACCCTATTTGCAGCACGATGTCCGAAGATGAGGCGGCTCAGATCCCCAGACCCAGCGTGTGGGAGCAGGACCAGCAGGTGAGGGCTGCCCCTCTGAGGAGCGGGGACACAAGGAATCCTGGGGGACAGTCCCTTCTAGGAGCGTTGCAGGCCCGGTATCCTGCTCTACTCCTCTCCTTGCTGGGAAAACCTGACTCGTAAAATTTGGACCATGGAGGGGGGAATGGGGCATTTCCTGGAGGGGGCTTCATGAGGCCCTGGGACGGGAGTGTGTCTGAAAGACACCCAGCCAGCTTCTGTGGCCCCCGCCCAACCCTTTCCCTCTCCCATCCATGGGTCTCCACCTGTATCCTCCTGTCTCCATGTCCACCATCATGGCGCCATCAGTAACAGTGATAATAGAGCAGCAGTCACTGTGTCAGCCGCAGTTCCAAGAGTTTCACATATATTGGCTCCTTGAACACCCCATTACAACACTAAAAACGCATTTCAGGGCCAGTCATAGTGTCTCATGCCTGTAATCCTAGCACTTTGGGAGGCCGAGGTGGATGGATCATCTGAGGTCAGGAGTTCGAGACCAGTCTGGCCAACATAGTGAAACCCCGTCTCTACTAAAAACTTTTTTTAAAAAATTAGCCAGGCATGGTGGCGTGCGCCTGTAATCCCAGCTTCTCAGGAGGCTGAGGCAGGAGAATCGTGTAAACCCGGGTGCAGAGGTTGCGGTGAGCCAAGATCACACGCTGGCTCTCCAGCCCAGGCCGACAATGCAAGACTCCATTTAAAAAATAAAATGCATTTCATAGTTGGGGAAACCAAGGCATAGAAGGGTTCAGTTGCTTGCCCAGGTTGACATGCCTGGAGGTGACTGAAGCAGAAGTGAACAGAGGTCACTGTGCTCCAAGGGAGATGCTCTGAAACCCCAGACTCTAATGACCTTCCTGGAGCAGACAGACAACAGTCGACCCTTTAACTCCGGTTTGAAGTGTTCAGGTCTGGCGGGCGCGGTGGCTCACGCCTGTAATCCCAGCAGTTTAGGAGGCCAAGGTGGGCGGATCACCTGAGGTCAGGAGTTCAAGACCAGCCCGGCCAACATGGTGAAACCCCATCTCTACCAAAAATACAAAAATTAGCCTGCTGTGGTGATGGGGGCGTGTAATCCCAGCTACTCTGGAGACTGAGGCAGGAGAATCACTTGAACCTGAAAGGCGAGGGTTGCAGTGAGCCAAGATCGTGCCATTGCACTCCAGCCTGGGCAACAAGAACAAGTCTCCATCTCAAAAAAAAAAAAACAAAAAAAAAAAAAAAAAAAAAAAAAAAAAAAAAAATTAGCCAGA